TAGCCAGGTGCAGTGGCTTCCACCTGTAATCCTAACACCCTGGGAGGCCAAGGTGGGTGGATTGTCTGAGCTCACAGGTTCAAGACCAGCCTGAGCCAGAGCCAGACCCTGTCTCTAAAAATAGCTGAGCCTTGTGGTGGGCACCTGTAGTTCCAGCTACTCAAGAGGCTGAGGCAAGAGAATCACTTGAGCCCAAGAGTTTGAGGTTACTGTGAACTATGACGCCATGGCACTCTACCAAGGGCAACAAACTGAGACTCTGTCTCAAAAAAAAAAAAAAAGAATTTGTATATTTTTATAGCTACATTGTATTCCAATGTAGCATAATTTATTCTGCCAATCCTGTATTGTTTGTCATTTAGTTGTTTCCATTCTTTCATGTTAATAAAATGCTACAAGGGATTGGCTAGGGAAGATTCATAGTGTTTTTTCTTTTTTTCTTTTCTTTCTTGAGAAAAGAGTCTCACTGTGCTTCCCAGGCTAGAATGCAATGGCATCATCATAGCTCACTGCAACCTCAAACTCCTGCAAAAATGATCCTCCTACCTCAACCTCCTAAGTAATTGGGACTATAAGTGTGTATCACCATGCCTGGCTAATTTTTCTTTCTTTCTTTTTCTTTTCTTTCTTTGTGTGTGTGTGTGTGTGTGTGTGTGTGTGTTTTGTAGAGGCAGGGTCTTAACTATGCTGCTGAGGCTGATCTCAAACTACTGGGCTCAAGAGAGCCTCTCACCTTAGCCTCCCAAAGTGCTAGGATTACAGGCATGAGCCATCATGCCCAGCCTGTTTGTGCCAATTTATACTCCTACCACCTACAGGAGTGTTTCTCTACATTCTTGCCAACAATGTATATTCTCAAACTTTGGGAAAGTTTGCTAAACTGATAAGTTTAAAAGTGATGTTTTATTATAGCATGGCTTAGCTTCTATTTCTCTTATTATCAGTAAGGTTGGGCATCTTTTCATGTACTTAAACCAATTACATTCCATTTTCTGTGAGTTCTGTTATTTTCCACCTATTTTTTATTGTGTCAATGGGTTCTTTTTTTTTTCTTTTGAGACCGAGTCTCAAGCTGTGACCCTGGATAGAGTGCCCTGGCATCACAGCTCACAGGAACCTCAAACTCTTGAGCTTAAGTGATTCTCTTGCCTCAGCCTCCTAAGTAGCTGGGGCTAGAGGCATCTGCCACAATGCCCAGCTATTTTTGATTGCAGTTGTCATTGTTTAGCTGGTCTGGGCTGGGTTCATACCCACCAGCCTCCCTATACATAGCCACTGAGCTATGGGTGCTCTAGCCACTGAGCTATGGGTGCCGCCCTCAATGGGTTTTTTCTTAAAAATTTTAAAATATTTATTATGGGTGCATAACAGTTGTATATATTTTTTGGATACATCTGATGTTTCGATACAGACATACAGTATATATTAATCAAATCAGGGTAATTGAGTCTCCATCCCTTCAAACATTTATCATTTCTTTGTGTTAAGAACATTACAATTCCACTTTTTATTTTTAAGTATACAATAAATTATTATTAAGTATAGTAAGCCTATTGTGTTACCAAATTCAAATAATAGATTTTATTCATTCTATTTTTTTAACCTGTTAACCATCCCCATTTTATCCCCTTTCCCAGTTTTTTTCTTACTGCCATATATATATATAT